AAAACATTCTACCAAATAATCATAATCTCAGACAACAAGAGCAGAATTGTTACAAAACTGGCGATTATGTTTTGAGAGCTGGAGTGGAACAAGCAGAACATTGCGCCACAAAACAAGAGATGAGGCAACATTTTGCCCTGATTTTCAGTAGTAAAGATTATTTTGTCCAGGCAAGTGTGCAGGAAATCCAGATCTTGATCAAATTTAAACGACAGTGTTTCATTTAAGAAATAGTGTGTAGTCATAAAGTTTTAGTTTTTGTCCGTTTGGACTGATGAGGCTTGGGTGCATTTCTTTATTAGGCTACAACTCAGGAGGTCTGCATGACCTCAGTAAACAAGTTTCATTAAGTGTTGAGCCTTGAATTGTAATTCCTCTTTTAGCTTTTCAAAATCTGATATCTGATAAAGAGTAAAACACCAAAACTCTTGAAAACTAAACTGAAAGTAGCAAATCCAATGTGGAAGCTAACTCATAATTACACTGAAAATAATAACAGTCAAATAAAATGTAATAATAATAATAATAAAAAATAAAATGAACTCTGTTCTTTCTCCACTTTTTATCCACCACTAATATAAACTGATGCTGAAAGCAAACTTTTATTCTTTAATCATAAAACATCAGCCACAATAAAAAAAACATGGCCGGGTGTTGTGTCGATACAGAAGTGCCTCTGTCTGTCCTGATGATAAGCCTATCAGCTGACACCAGCAGCCAGAGTGGGAGCACAAACATCCGGTGTCAAAAACAGCACTTATACATAATGTATTTTTTTTCCCACCCTCTAAATTCAGTGGAAAGGTATGTCTTTAACTGTGCGGGAAAAAGCAGAGGGAGGGAAAGATTTGCGAACTTTGTGGGCGTCCGTCCGTGTCACGTGTGTTAATCAAAGCCCACCACAAACACGCAGAGCATCTTAGGTAACAGCCATCGTTGTTTACGTGAAAAATGGATTAACGATATTATTACAGCAGTAAAAAAAAAAAAAAGCGTGTTACATGAAATTGTGTTACACACAGTGGAAATCACAGACGTCACGCAAAAGCATGCAGATTAAATGGTTGAGGTTTACGTTACCGTTGTGGTGAATACAAAGTACAACACCGTCGCCAGTAGTGCCACAGAGCTCGCTACAGCCCCAGTTGCTAAAATAACATAAAATGGCCTCATTTTGTTTTAAAATGAGGACAAATTTACCACCGTGAACCTGAGCTGCAGACTCCGCCCTGCAGCGTGTTGTGAGAGGAGGGCGGTGGCCTCATAGACCAGAGGAGGGAGAAGGGACACTACTTTTATTATTATTATTATTATTATTATTATTATTATTATTATTATTATTATTATTAACTAAGGAGGTTGTTTCTGTTTTTCATCAAAAGTCCAATATGACAATATAATGGAACTATAGTGTTGCGTTATCGTCTATTATCAAAGGCTTCAAGTTCAAAAATTGTAAATCCCTTTTCTATGTGAAAGACCTTCCAAACTGTGGGAGAAGAGTTATGTGTAAAAGTTTTGTAACAAAAAAACAAAAAAAACAAAACAAAACAAACAAACCCTCGATTGCTGTGCGTCATCCCAAGGCGCCCAGCCTACGTCACTAGCCTGTATCGGAAGACGAAAGCGTGCGTCGTGTATGGCTGTGCCTAAGAGTGCGACATTCATTAAAAAATAATAAATTTAAATTAAATCTAGAGTATACACACGGTTTGAGACGAGATGGATGACGAGGAGGAAACATACAGGCTTTGGAAAATCCGCAAAACAATCATGCAGGTAGGTTACATTTGTGTGTTTGTTTGTTATTAGCTTAGCATTTAGCTTTCTTTAACTTAAGAGTCGAAATTAGCGGCTCACTTCAGGAAGGTAGCCTTGTTTACTGATTTACTTAGCACATTAGAATAGCCAAGGAGAGCAGAGCATCATCGATCCCGACCAAGCACAGTAAAATGATGCTGCTGTGGAGCTCATAATTCGCGGTTCTGGTATTATTACAGTTTAATGACAGTACTAATGAGCGTCAGAGGCGTATTTAGTATTTTCTTCTTTAGCTTGTTGCATTGTATTTTCTGTTTTCAGTCACAGTTTATGTCATTTTGGAAACGATTCGGAAAAGATCGAGGTTTGGGTTATAAAGCCTTTTCCGAGTTCAGTTTGTACATCCTCTCTTTGTATTTCATTCCCTCCCACCTGAGATACTAAGCGGATCTGTTCCTCATACGTGAGCCGTCATTTTAAAGCAGTCTCAGTGCAACATGATGGGTTTCTAAACTACATCACCATAGCGTTGTTTTTGGATGCCTGTTCTCCTCATCTATCATATGAGGAGAACATTGTGGGCGTGGGTTGTGACAGTTTTGTAATAGGAACACATATTTGCCTTCTTGGCATGATTTGCATTATTTGGCAAAAAGTAAAAAGAGTATACCTGTGCTATATGCTCGATAAAGCCCACTGTATCCCCGATTATCATAGCATACATTTTCACTGCTGTGCAGATGACACCCAACTATGAAGCCAGATAACACACACAAATTAATTAAACTGCAGGATTATGTCTTAAAGACATAAAGACCTGGATGATCTCTAATTTTTGCTTCTAAATTCAGATAAAAGTGAGGAGGTTACTGTACTCTGCCCTAAAAGTCTCAGAAATGCAGTATCTAACCAGATTCTTACTCTGGATGGCATTGCCCTGGCCTCCAGTGACACTGTGAGGAATCTTAGTCTTTTTTTGTCCAGAATATGTCCTTAAATGTGTATATTAAACAAACACAAAGGACTGCTTTCTTCCATGTGTGCAATATCGCTAAAATCAGAAACATCCTGTCTCATAGTGATGCTGAAAAACTAGTTAATGCTGGCCTATTGCTATGCTCCTATAAAGTCCCTGAAAAGCATTCACTTGAGCGGTAGAAAGACTAACAGATTTACAGACAGGTGGGCCTTCTTCAGTATTCTGAAGAAATAGTCTCTGTTGTGCCTATTTTTTATAATAGCAGCAGTGTTTGTTGTCCATTCAGAGTCCTCATTGATGGTATTCCCAGAAGTTTAAAGCAAGACACTCTCTTTACCTCCTCACCCCCTAATTCCAGTGGTCTGAGCGCCCCTCTCTGTTGCCTGAAACCAGTGATGATTTCCTTTGTTGTTGTTTTTAATGTTCGTGGAGAGGTTGTAATAACAGGCTCTGCACTTCATCTCTATAGACGACCTCGCTCCCATTTGAGATGAGTCCTAAAACAGTTGTGTCGTCAGCAGATTTTATGATCATGAAGATCTGGCATCTTCCGTAGATCTGTTGTCTCTGTATGCATACTGATCTGGGTCAAAGGTGGTGGTGTTCAGGCTGGTTTTGATGGTGGTATATGCTCACTGGGATCTCATCCGGTCCAGCAGCCTTCCTAGCATTGGCTGCCCTGAGGGCCTGTTTCACTTCATGTCATGAGAAAAACCCCACAGTCTGCTCAAAACGTCTAGTTTACATTTTTTGTTTGTTTGCTTTTAATTTTCCTTTTTAATATTTTCCTTTACACCCACAGCTCTGCCATGATAGAGGGTATCTGGTGACACAGGATGAGTTGGACCAGACACTGGAAGAGTTCAAGAGTCAGTTTGGAGACAAGCCCAGTGAGGGGCGTCCCCGACGTACAGATCTCACCGTCCTGGTGGCACACAATGATGATCCCACAGACCAGATGTTCGTTTTCTTTCCTGGTAGGCGTATTCCTAATATTATAGTTTGTAATGAGTCCAGTCCTTAAAAAAGCCAAAACCACACCTTGTTTGTTTTTTTGTCATTGAAAACTGTAAAATCTGTGCTGCCTAAAGAGGTTTTCTCATTCCCACAAAAGAAACCCACCAATAACAAGCAACTACCAATAGCCCACCACTGCAATAAAGATATTTTTTGATCATTTTTTGGGGGGGTGGGGGCTTTATTTTGTTTTGTTTTGTTTGCCAGACTAACAATTAGGGCCATGTGTACTTGGAGAATAATATAGTTTTTGTAGTTTTGCTTCTCTACAACACTTTGGTGGTTTTAAAAGTCACTCAGGGTGTGATCGAAGTGCAGATTTTCAGATTTAATTCAAGGTTTTACAAAAGTATTTCTCACCTGTGTTTAGGAATTATAGCCTTCTGTTTTTAAGGGTAACCAGTGGTTTACAGATTGTTGTAAATTCTCTCTATTTACATTCACTCGTTTCCATGGAAATTAGTTTGAAGTCATATCACTTTAATTGTCGCTTTTATTCTCTAAGGCGTTGCTGAGTTGGCCAGTTTATTCCTTACTTTAAGAATGCACCAGATTGTCCATTTGGCCAGTC